TGTAAGAAAGCTCTGTTAGAAATTCTAAGTTTGGCAAACCTGCAGGATACAAACTCCATACACAAAAAACCAGTCACCTTTCTAAACTTAACTCTGCACAATCTGAAGAGGAAGTTAATAATTCCATTCACAACAGCATCAAAAGTAACAACCCCAGGGCTGGGATTATAGCTCAGCAGCAGAGCGCTTGCCTCACACATGAGAGGCACTGGGTCCCACACTCAGCACCACATAAAAATAAATATACTTAAAAAAATAACCGAGGGAAAAAAAAAAAAGACTGAAAACTACAAAACACTGCTGTAAGTGATTACAGAAGCCCTAAGTAAGTGGAAAGGTATCCCATGTTCATGGAGTTGGAAGACACTGTGATGTCAAGATGCTGAAAATACCCAAGCCACACTGATTCAGCAATGCCTATCAAAATCCCGACGATTTCTTTTCAGACACACAAAAGCATATCCCAACATTCTGATGGCACCTCTAGGCACCACCTTGAAAAGGAAGAACAAAGCGACATGTCTCACTGATTACAAAACTTACTACAAAACAGTCTAGTTCTAGCATAAAAAGCACATATACATAGACCAATTAAATAGAATAGATCCTAAACCTTGAGAATATTAAGCTAAATGAAATAAACCAGTCACAAAATAACAAGCTCTGTGTGACTCTCCTTGAAAGCAGGACGGTGGTTGTGAGGGGCTGTGGGGGGTGGCTCTTCACAGCAGCACTGCTCACAGTAGCCAAGAGGTGAAAGCAACTTAAATATCTACTGAAGGATGGATAGATAAATAAAATGTGGCCCAACGGAATATTAATCAGCCTTAAAAAGGAAGGAAATTCTGACACACACTACAACACAGATGAGCCTTTTGGACATTATGCTAAGTAATATGAGCCAGTCCCAAAATAGGTGAGATTCCTAGAGTTGTCAGATGCATAGAAAGAATGGTGGGCAGCCAGGGCGCAGGGGAAAGGAGAATGGGTAGTCAGTGTTTAATGGGTACAGAGTCAGTTTGGGAAGATAAAGGAAGTGCTGGCCACGGACAGCGGTGACTGGCAGCAGACGTGCACAGCAGTGTGGAGGTGCTCCACACCAGCAAGCTAGCTTTAAGATCCACGTATGTGCACTACTTGAACAAGAAAATGCAAACTGTCCAGACTGTAAGAGGGCAGAATTCATCAAATTTCATCAGCCTGACTTGGGTCTTGCAGGACACGGACACCTGAAACGTGAGCAACAGCAGCTCTGTCCCTTGAGCCCCGTCCCTGCACTGGGCGAGCTGTATGTCTAACACCCCCGTACATGGAAGCGACAGTTTAAGTTTTCTGCAGTGAAGATGTCAGAGTCTTCATGGTAAAAAAAATAATAATAAAGGTGTAAGATATGACTTTCTCACCCATGGCAGGATCTCCCTGTTCAGAGTGTCTGGCCACTGGGAGCCCCTTCAACACCCTGGGGACCAGGGAAGATCTTGGCCAGATCTGTAAAGCCACCCCAAGGCTACTGCAGAGACACATGCCACTTACAGGGTCGCTGTATGAGTGACTTACTTCCTCCTGCTCACAGGCATTCAAAATGCTTCAGCAAGTGAACTTCAAAATCTCCTAACTCAAAATATCTTAGAGCTGAGAAGTGCTTCTGTGCAGGTGACCCTCTGGGACAGCGCCTGTGTATTTACATGTGTGCAGGTGTTTGTTTTAAATTTCTAGTCACCGAGGGAAACCTTAAATGTTTAAAAAGTACTGCAGCATCTTTAGAAAAAGAATCATTTCTTTCATAAATGAAAAGCAAAATTCGGTATGACTCAAGGTCTCACTGCATCCGTTGCCAATTCTTATCTGTCTACTACCCTTTTTTTAATCAACTTCCATAGCTGACAGGCATTGGGGTTACACTGCAGCCAGCAAAGGAAGGTTTCCAATTTCTCCGCATCCTCGCCGACACTAATTAATTAATTCTAACCAACCTAATGAATGTTAAATGGTACTTATTGTGGCTTTAAGTGAAAATTAATCAAATAAAGAATAGAAAAGTGATAGGGAAAAAAAACTGACAAATCCAAAAGCTTTGGTCCTTTGAAAAGATCAACAAGTCAACACTGAAAAACTTTCAGCTAGACTGAGCAAAGTAGGGAGAAGACTCCAACTCCCACCGTCTCAAGGGAAGCAGAGAAATTACTACTGACCCCACAGAAAGGAAAAGGATCACTGAGATCAGGCAACCCGGCTGCAGTCCCCACTCCTGACCACTATCTATGCTAAGCTGTGAGTAACTGAATCATTTTGACATCAGACATCAAACTGTTGTTTTGTACCATCCAACTTCCTGTTCTAGAAAGTTAATCCGGGGACTCTAGAGAAAGTCATTTACATAACTAACCACTGCTGCAGGAAAAGCATGCCACTGACTGTGATCGCAGCTACCTGTTCCGCAGGAGGATCGCCTGAGCCCAAGAGTTTGAGGCCAGCCAGGACAACACAGTGAGACCCCATCTCAAAACAAAGAGCACAACTTAAAACAACAACAAAAAAAAAACCAAGTGAATAATTTTTAAAAATCTATTAAAGCTTACTAAACCTCTCTTAAACATTATTATTGGCACTTCCAAAAACTCTTTACACATTATTTTATTGAATCCTCACAGCAGTCCTAAAGGACGGGTAGGTACTACTATCACTCTCACTTTCCAGCTGAGGAAACCAAGGCACAACATCGCCCACCCAGCAGGTGACAGGGCATGATCTCAAGGCCCACAGCTCCACGTGGGGGAACCTTTCTACCAGGATCCCGCCCCTTCCTACTCACTCCTCTCTGTGGCCCATCTCATGCACAGCCCCTGGACAGGGGATTCCTGGGGAGTAGCCCGTCCTGTCATCCGCCAGTACTCACTCCGGGCCTCCGCCCACCCCCCACCTATGGGAGAGAGGCACACACGCTCCTTCACAGTTCACTGACCAAATGAGCTGTCCCACACCCCACACTGTTCAGAACTCTTCAATGTGGTTACTTTACTCGCCCCCAGGTACTGTCTAGCGTTGAGATGGTCAACTCAAGGATCTCCTGCTCACTTCACTAATCTGATTATATACAGCTTAAGTTCATTAAGCTCAAAATTTCCAAGAACACACATACTTACCCTTTAAAAATAATAAGGATGGGGAATGGTTTAAGTGGGAAGATTGTTCTTGCATGCAAAATTAACGATAACTTTTTTATTTATTTTTGGTAATGGGGAACGAACCCAGGGGAGGGGTACTTGAACCACTGAGTTGCATCTCCAGCCCTTTTTCAATTTTTTATTTTGAGACAGCATCTCACTGAGTTGCTTAGAGCCTCACTAAATTGCCAGGGCTGGCCTTGAACTTGCGATCCTCCCATCTCAACCTCCAGAACTGCTGGGATTATAGGTGTGCACCACTGTGCCCCACCCTATTATTTTAACTCCAAAAAAATGGATGTTTTGCCATGGCAAACAACTGCACCAAGTTAACACATGAATTTGCATTGTTTGAAGGAAATCGGGCATTTGGCAGAAAATTTTAGCTAGCAAATTGTTTGAACGTATAATTCAGAACGTATTTACCTATTTTAACTTCTCTCAAAGAACTGATAGCCTTTTAGAGCAGCAATCCATATACTAGTCTCCAAATCGGCCTCAATGAGGAGCCCTATAAAATATAAAATAACCCTAAATATTTGAAAAACCAACTAATTATTTTTGAGGTGATTATTCCATTCATAAATTAAAGCAACATAAATACAAGCACTTTAACATCAATACTTTCATATTGCTAATGGCCCTTTCCAAAATATTATATTAAATTGTGAACTCTATTTCCTTTCATCTTCATTAACACTAACCTGCATTTGCTGGAGGAGGGGGTGTAACTACACATACTGTTGCCTTAAACTTAATGGTGGATCTAAAATTCTGAAAAATCTGCTATTTTTATTGGTTTAAATTAGCATGTATGTGCTTAGTTTTCGTTTAAAAACAATCCTTTGTTCCTTGGTAAATCTGTCTCTGCCTTAGAAACTAATCAAATGCAAACCTGAATCCTTCCCATGGCTCTTGGTCACCATAACCCATGGTTAACTGAAGGAGCTTTGAAAAACATGCACAGACCTGGGTTAGAATCTCTGCGGGGCTACACGTGCTCTTGGCCAACTACATGTCTTTGAGCCTTGGTTTTCTCACCTATGAGGACGAGAATAATAGTACCAATCTCCAAAGGTTATTGTGAGAATAAGAGCTGGTACAGTGAATATTCATGATTCATGATGTTATTAATGATGGCAGATTAACTAGGCTTTTCAAGGTCTGGCCCGATTACCTCCTTTACACCACAAGCTGCCCCCACATACCAAGCTGATGCCTCAGCTCCTTTACATAAATGTTTGACTTAAATTTCTTCCTAGAATCTGGCACAAAGTTCTCCACCTCACTCACTCGGGTCTGTGTGTCCAGTGCTTACTTGTCATTCAAGACCCACCTCCAGGCTCACCTACCTCCCCTGGAGTGACATTTCTCAATCCCTGTTTACAGTCACTCCATAACCAGGCCTCGTGATCACTGAAGGAAAAACTCATTCTCCTCCATGTTTCTCAGCACTTAGGACAATGGCAGATGGCCAATTACTGCTGAATGCCCAGGCCTCCACCATTTGGTAGTACTAACCAAGTATTAGGCACGAGACAGGAAGGCCAAGCCTTTGAGTTACAACTCTGCCCACGAGTCTGGTAAGAATCAGACTCTGTTAGTTTGGGGCTTGCAGTAAACTTTCAAGTCACTTTAATGTGTATGCAGCCGTCCTGTTCAAGCAGACAAATGCCACGCTATGTCATTTTAACACTTTCTTCCACAGCATCGTGTTCTGGATTTGGATCATGTGACCATTTCCTTGGGACCATTTGGAAATAACAGAGCACACTGATTTTTTCTCTCCTTTCAACAGTAAGGGTGCCAGCTATGGTGCTAGCCCCCGTCACTCACCTCAGCCACCTGCTGGGTCCCCACTCTGTGCTGAACCAGCCCCTCCATATTTGTAGCCATGGTGAAGCAAGATCATTAGAGAACCTGTTTGGAAAAATGCAGCAACTTCTATCAGGTGGGAGAAACCAGGCTACGTGAAAAATAGTACTAATCAAAATTCATCGTTGGTGCCATCTGACACGGGCTGTGCCCTCTACAGAAGGCCGAGCTGGCGGGCAGGCGGAGCGCATCTGAGTATGTGGCACCAGCGTCTTCAATTACAAGTACCGAAATTAATTTGTAGAAACATTTCAATTTGGAAACAAAGCCTCCCCTGGTAAACAGAGATGAAGATGACTCTGGAGTTTAATTATCATCTTCTGGGTTGTATGGTTGGGTCGTCTCTCGGGGAGGTCGGAATTACACACACCTTTTTGGATAGCTCTGTCACCGCAGGCTGAACGAGAAGGCGGCCATCTGAGAAAGGTGTGAGATCAACCCTGGACAGAGCGCCAGCTCGCTATCATCAACTGTGCTGTCACTGGTGGCAATTCGAGAAGCAAAACCTGCCCAGGTGTCGCGCACCTCACAGGTGCAAAGGCAGACACCATGGCAGAGAACGGGCTGATGAGGACCGAGCACCCATAAATTTATTAACTTACAATTGAAAAGTTCTCAATGATGAGAGAACCAGACAATTCAGCTCTCTGCTAAGAGGAATAAAATGTAGCTGGGCACGGTGATGGCGCACGCCTGTGATCCCAGAGACTCAGGGGCTGAGGCAGGAGGATCTCACGTTCAAGGCCAGCCTCAGCAACTTGGTGAGACCCCATCTCAATATAAAAAATAAAAAGGGCTGGGGTGTGGCTCAGTGGTTAAAGACCCCTGGGACCAATACAACAAGAAAAAAGATCTGATACCACCACCAGTACAAACTGAAGAAAATGATTTGATGATCAAAAAGCGTGTTAGCCTGGGTCAGGGTCAAGGTCACTGCTTATGAAGCAACTCCTGGTCCCTTCTGGTCAGGAGCAGTCCCCTGTTCCCCCAGCACTTTCCAACAACTCTACCACAGAAAATCCAGGACCAAGGGAGTCCCACTGGACTTGATTCCTGGAGAATTCGCTAGGGACTGCACAGGTCTCTTCTTAATAGGAGAACAAAGCTCTGGGGATTCCCTCCCAGGATCCGCACGTGAAAACTACACGGCATCACCACACGTGCAGTGTACACAGATGCCCTCCACAGTCACAGACTGGGCCCTGGGACACGCGACTTTACAGAAGCACTTTCCTGCAGCTCCCACCTGCAGGGCTGGAGTGTGGGCCTCTGTGATGCTGTTTAGCTCGTGGCTTTTAGTCACTTCTATCATAACTCCCCGTCCGATTATTTTATCTCCAAAATGGAGAGAGAGAAACGAGAGCATGAAACTGTGACCAACAAGTATCAAAAGATCTGGCTCCGGCCTTCAGGGTTTCGTCAGAACCCTGTAAGAGCTGCGACAGCAGGCCACCAACAGCAGACTCAGCTCTCCTGTGGGGTCAGGTGGGAAGCTGGGGGGGGGGGGGGTCTGGTGTTCATTCTTTTCCTCCCGGGCCTTCTTCCCCCCCTCCCTTCTCCTTCCGACTTTCTCCATCTTTCCTTTCTTTCTGGGGACTGCATCCAGGGTTCCACACATTCTCCCAGTGAGCTATAGCCCCAGCCTATTTACTCTTTTAATAAAGAGCCCAATTTTTTTAAAGTTTGTTTTTAGAAGGAAAAAACAAAACACAGGGAAACACACTACATTGCTACAATTTGGTTCCAACTAATAGAGAAGGAGGGAAAGCACCCCTTCCCATGCACCAGGAAACGGAATGGTGTTAAAATCAGAAAACCCAACAGCCAGGCCAGAGAGGTCATTCAGCAAGGACGCCACACACGGAGCTGCAGCTGGCGACTATCTAACTAATGTTAGATGCTAGCATTGTTTCTAATTGTACTTTGATATAAGAAGTATGTGGACTTGCGTATTTCAGAAATATTCTGAGGGAAATATTAACAATTATAGAAATAACAATACTAGAGAAACACACATCTTTCCATTAGGTTCCCCTAAAAGAAGTGGCTTGATGTTGAAGTTCTGAGTTGAAGTCAATTTTACAGATGACTGCCCAAGATCACGGAGCCTTAGTAACTCAGAGACCTTTATGGCACATTTTAAATTTGCTGGACCAATTAACTTCAGATAGGGTTTGGAGCCCCCAGATAATTCTAAAAGCCAGTGACTATAGACATTAGGTTACAGAAAAGTAGTAGGAAGCCTGTTTGATTTAGAAAGGGTTAAGTATTCTGAATACTCACTATTGTGATCATCAGTAGTAGTCGTATTTTGGAACCGGGAACTGAACTCGGGCTGCTTTACCACTGAGCTATTATTCCCAGTTCTTTTTTGAGCCTGGGTCTCTCCAAATTGCTAAGGATGGCTTCAAACTTGTGATCCTCCTGCCTCAGCCTCCCGAGTTGCTGGGATTACATGTACCCCTGCACCTCGATATTTATTGATTATACAAGTTACAAATATTTTCCCCCTTGGCTCATCTACTTATGTTCTTTAAGGTGTCTTTCCCTATAACCCTGCCCAGGAGCCAGGGATGGAACCCAGGGCCTCACACACGCTAGGAAAATGTTCTACCACTGAGCTACGTCCCCAGCCCTTTAAGCTATACTTTGACAAACAAAGATAATGATGTGCTAGGATGGGGCTCAGAGGTAGAGCGCTCGCCTAGCATGTGTTAGGCCCTGGGTTTAATCCTCAGCACCGCATAATTAATAAATAAAAATCAGAATATTGTATTCATCTACAAAAAATTAAAAAAAAATGATAATGCTGAACTTACCAGCATTTTCTTATATAGTTTATACTTTTATGGTTAAATTCTGTCCTACTGTAGGATTATAAATAGTTGCATGTTTTCTTATATATAAATGTTAAAGAATTTTTGCTCCTACATTTAAGATTCCTGATCCATCTGCAAATTGATCCTCAAATTTGACGAGTAAGACTCTAATTTTTAATAGATAATCAATTCTCCAGCGCCTTGTACTGAACAATATTATTTTCCTATCTGACACAAATCAGGTATAGCTCCGTGTGTGGACATAATCCTAGGCTCTCAATTTTTATTTTACTATTGTTCCACTTATCTTTGTCACCACCATTATCTTATTACAGCAACTTTATAATACTTCTTATCTCTGGAAGGACAAATGTCCCCCGCCAACTTCCTGGACCATCTCAAATGCCTTTCTTTATACTTGAATGGAGCCAACTTTTCTTATACACTTGAATTCTGACAATTTCTGATTTCAGAGTTGGGTTTCTGCCTCTGAAACAGCCATGACCATCATCAACAGAAGCTTTAGAGGTGCTTAAAGAAGGAACAAGGAGGAATGTACACCTATTAGAAAAACAAACAGACACAAAAAGAGGAAGTAAAAGAGAAGCTAATGCCTTCAACATAAAGACTTAAATCCAATCAGAGCACATGTAAGAGATGGTTTCAATACAATATTTTCCTTTTCATTACTTTTTTTTTTGGTACCAGGGATTGAACCCAGGGAGCACTTCACCACTAAGCCACATCCCAGCCCTTTTTATTTTGGAAACAGGGTCTTGATAAATGGCTGAGGCTAGCTTTGGACTTGTGATCCTCCTGCCTTAGCCTCCCAAGCTGCTGGGGATCACAGCAGTAACCACCGAACCCGGCCCATTTCATTACTTTTTAAAATGCCATAAATTATATCTTACCTACAGATGTTTCTTTTTCTAGGGTATCACAATGTAAGTAGTAAAATGAAACGCTTAAGTGATATTAGAAAGGGGAAGGATGTTTAATCCAAGCCCATTCAGAAAAAAGTTTGGGGAGAAGCCTCTCCCTCCAAGAGCTTGCTCACCACAACAGGAAAGGGTATGCTATCAACTAGGGGGTGTCCCCCTAGAAGCAGTTCCAAGGAACAGTGGATTGTGTCTATATGTATTTAAAACGTTAGAACAGCATAATCTTATAACTGACATCTGGGGGAAAAAAAGCCCTATTATTCTGATGCCACCAACTGCAGAAATAAAGCTTTTAGAGACAACCTCTTGGCTTGTGGATCTATGTAAAATGAGCTTGATGACAAATAGTACTTGCTAAGAGGTAACTATATACATGGCATTATTTATTTATTTAATTTTATACTGGGAATTGAACTCAAGGGTGCTTTACCCCTGAGCTACATCTCCATGGTACACACCTGTAATTTCAGCAACTTGGAGGCTAAGTTAGGAGGATCATAAATTTGAGGCTAGCCTTAGCAGCTCAGCAAGACCGTGACTTAAAATAAAAATAAAAAGGGCTGGTGATTTAGCTCAGTGGTAAAGTGCCCCTGGGTTCCCAATCCCCCCAAAAGAGCATGATAGGCATCATAAACTTTCAGGTTAGCAGTTACCTGTTCAGCTTCCTCATCTTCAAAGATCACATCCACATACAATAATGTTCCTAGGAAAAAACCCAACTAGTCTCCAAAAAGATTTAGTATCTTAAGTTAAAAATTGATCCAAAAAAATCTTCCTCCAACAGTTTTAAACTAAGTCCAACTACCTTCACCAATCCTTACTAAGAAACAGCTATTAACTAGGCAACAACCTGTCTGCTGAGAAGCTGCAAGAACAGCAAAAGAACAAGGAGTCCTCATCTGTGATGAACTTAAGGGTACCAAGAACATCTCGGCAAGGCTAACAGACTCGAGGAACAAGCATTTCCCTCTGCCCCTGGGAGCCAATGACACTGCTAGGAGAGAGGGTTAGGGCAGCATTGACGGAAGGGTGGAAAAGCAGCAAACAGAGAAAGGGAGGAGCTCTAAGCAGAGCGGGCAGCTCATTCACACCTGGCAGGTCCAAGGAAGGACGGAGGTCTGAGCAGCAGCAGGCCTCCTGCTGAGGAAGGACGGGAGAGGGGAGTGGCAGAGAGGCTGATGCGGTTACAATGGAGAATCAGTAGTTCAGCCAAAGAACCCGTGTGTGCATATGCAGATGCCTGCACCCAGCAAAGAAAAAGAAAAAGAACAGGAGGCCAACTAGG